AAAATTTATTAAAATCCTGAAGTGGTTCCGAAATTTCGAGATTCCGAATATTTTTCTTTCCAAAATCCCGGCAATATATTCCTAATAATATGATTTACTACTGTTCTTATTAATAAAAATCAATCCCTCGCAGATTGCAAATTTCGGGATCACATTTATTTTTCTTTTGCAAATCACGAAAACTCAGTAATATTAGGAATATACATACGTATATAATATTAAAAACAATTTAATAAAAAATTAAATCCCGAAATGGTCCCGAAATTTCGGTATCCCGAATTTATTTCTTCCAAAAAACACGAAATGTTGGAAATCAATTTCTCGTAGTGTCACAAATAATAAATTAGATATAACAAGTGTATTCCACATATAGTAAGTACAATCGGTGAAGAGCAAGTCTCGTAGTTATGCAATGATAGATATTCACAAAACTTCATTCAATATATTTGCAATATTTCTGGTCACACTTTAAATTGACATCACTTTCTTTAGACTTTTCCATATTAAATGCAGTTGCAATGAAGTTCCCGTTGCATACAAACAAAATTCTTTTTCATACATCTTTTATTTATGTCTCAACATAGTTTTGGAAGAAAAATTACTGCAAATTTCCAAACCTTCTTTAAAGAACTAATTTTTGCTGCAACAGCGAGTGGAAAATAAAACTTAAAATTCCGCATGCACATCAAGTCACTCTAACGTAATGGGACAACAAAGAAAACTTTGCACAGAAAATTTGCGAAAGACGTGCTAATAAACTAAATGAACGCCTGAATATATGCTACGCTAAATGATATGCAGAGTGTGTAGTAAAATGCAAATTGCAAAATATTTTAAGGCGTCGGATATGGTTTTTTTGTTTTTTTTTTTTTTTTTTTTTTTTTTTTTTTTTTTTTTTTTTTTTTTTTTTTTTTTTTTTTTTTTTTTTTTTTTTTTTTTTTTTTTGTAGAAGAAAATAGAGTGGGAGCTTAAATCAAAGCTGATGTATTTTCGTTGTTTGCTCTTATTTTTGTGCTCCGAAAAAGCCATAAAAAATACAGAAATGTGCAGACAGAATTTCCATGCACAAAATATTCCAAAAGCATAAACATGCGCATATTTCCTTATACTTTTGTTCACACTTTCGCAAATCATGTCTTTTTTTACTAGATACAGTACTTTAATGCCTATATTTTATTTGGTTTCTCATTTATTTTCTCGCTCTTAACCCTGCACAGTTATGTTTCGTTTATACGACACCGATGGCAATGGTGTCCTGGATACGGCCGAAATGGATGCGATTGTTAATCAAATGATGGCTGTTGCCGAATATCTTGGCTGGGATGTCAGCGAATTGCGACCGGTAAGTAAGACTTCATTTAACAGTAAAAATACCCCACACAGACGAACACACCAATACATTGCTACACAAAACATTTGATTTGGAAATCAATTCTTTTCAAGCCATTAAATGCCCAAATATTCTCTCGAGTGCTGTCTTCACCCATCATCCAGACATTATTTCGTATTTTCGTTTCTTTTGTATATATTTGTCTCCAGTTTTTATTTGCTTGTTTATGTACGTGGCTGGTTGCCATGCATTAAGCCACTCATCACCATCATCATCATCATCATCGTCAAGTCATTGCTGTCATTACGCCCATTTCATCGTTTCGTTAGCGTCTTTAACTAGGCACTCTAAGCTTGTAAAATGAAATCGTAAAATTTTCCACTGTAAATTCTACTCGGTAAGTACGCTGCAGGTTGCCTATTTGCTTTCGGGCATTTTGCAGGATAACAGCTAACAGTGAAAAGACAATAAATGTAATTAAATCTTCTACGACTATCGTATCGTCTTCGGGGTTTAATGATGACGACGTTGTCGAAAAGAGCAAATCGTCTTTTTATTATGCATTTTGTTCCAGCTACTAATTGTTGGTTAAGTTAATGAAGTGCGTTGCTACTGTCAAAGACATTCGTATTCGCATATCGATATAGGGTGTTTTTTAAGGTTATACAAATATTCTTAAAGTACTTCGCTACAAACAGATTCACAAATAAAAAAGTTTTGCTTACAAGAACTTCATTTTGATCAATCAGTTTGTATGGCAGCTATATGCTATAGTAGTTTGATATGAAAAATTCCTTCGGAGTTTGTACTGTGATCTCAAAAAATAATCTTTGCCAAATTTCGTGAAGATATCTCGTCAAATAAAAAAGTTTTCCATACAAGGACATTATAGTCAGCGCTTAGTTTGTATGGCAGCTATATGCCGATAACGGCACTACCGACAAGCGAGTAGCTTCGTGACCAAAAGAACATGTGCGCAATTTCAGACCGATATCTATGAGACTTAAGGACTAGTTCCCATATATTTAAATCTATTTTATAGCGTCTTCAAAGTTTCCTTCAAGATGTTACTTGGCGTATTTAATATATGTCATGCTGGATATAAAAATTAGTCTCTGGATTACATATCAACGTCTTTATTAGAACATAGAACTGCTTAGTAGCGACCTACACTATTGGCTTCCACTCTGTTCGACCCATTTCTTTAACTTTTCTCTGTTTGATTTGAAAAAAAAAGTAAAAAAAAAAATTTTGTATACCCCTAAAACGACACCCTATATCTAAACCTGATACATCTCTTTTGTATGCATGCAGTTTCTCAAGTACGCACATACTTAATTATGTGTTCGAATTGAGTTGCAAAACGTTTGCTTCTGCAGTTGACATTAGTTAGATACTTAAAGAATTAACAAAGCCCCCCAGACCTTACTGTGTGCCTATAGAAATTATTAGATATACAGCAAGACTTATTATTATTGTTAAGCCGAGCAAAGTTTTGTGACACGTGCACGTTGAAGCAAATTAATGCATATAACTAATTAAGACGAAGCAATGCGTGGAGCCGACAGCACTGTGTGGAAGTTAAAATTCCGATGATGGCGAATAAAGTCGAAATGAAATGGATTCTTAATAAATAATAGGAAACAGAAAACTCAGATCAGATTATCGACGTAAGAATTCCACCTTTCCTAAAATACTCTTACGAGTACATTCGCGATTTTGTCTGAGTCTAGGTTTTCTGCTTACAGGGCATGAGCCTCTAAATGCATTCCCGCTTTAAAGACATCTATCTGATTGTTCGGGTTGTTTTTGTAGGGCGGGTATAGAGGACTGGGTAAATATATTGGTGGTTGTGGTTAAGACCCAAATGCGAGAAGAACTGACCCTCAGTTCAATGTGGAGTTGCATCGCAATCGGGAGCTGAACGCAAACCCACCAAGGTGGTTAGTGTGTCTATTCTTCTCTGCTAATTGATACTGAAAATTCCTGCCATTTTTAAGGCGCTGATCAACGCATTTATTTGATCCGCTGTGCTTTTGAGCGCCATGGGGTAAGGCTGTCGTCAACAGGTACGCAGGTAAAAAACCCAATAAGATTTGGTAATTAAACTTTGAACCTGCGTAATCAAATGCCAAACTAAATGACCTACCGGCATCCGACAAAGTTGATCATACTCCCGGTTGGAAGTTATAGAAAATTCACTTTAACCAAAAGTTACTAGCCATATTAGAGAGCAAATTGCTGGTACTTTAGTTTATTACATAGAAGGCATTATAAGGACTAGCAACTTCATTGCTTGAGTGCTTGCTCCCTTTCTTCTGTGGTCAGATCTGATTGACTCTAAGCTTCACTTCAGCCCTAACTCGTCGCGCTGTATTATAAAAGTTCTCATCTTCTCTAGCCCTCAGCTCACCAGTTCACTCTATTCTAATTTTTATTTTTTATTTTTTATAATTTTTTTTTTTTTTTTTTTTCTTACTCTTCATATTGAGAAATCAATTTTAGATCAAGCTCTTTATTTTTAAGGGAAATTATATCCATGAAAATGTTTAAACTTTTCGATTCCCCATAATCATAAAGCCGAAATTTTACTAGTGACGTACATATATGATATAGTCATAGTAGATGACTACATATATGCATATTTTATGACAGCATCTGTCATAAATTTCCGCACATTAATTCGTCATAAAATTGGAGCAGATCACAACCGAAAATCAAATTGAAGTGAATACATGTCAAATAATCGTATAAAACATATAACAAATCAAACATGATGTTAATGGAGGCTACAATAAAATTCGATGAGTCAAATGTGACTTATGGCGGTCGTAAATTTTGGGACACAAACTGTCAGGGAGTCGAGTTATATTTTCAGTAGAAATGAAACAGCTGCATTGAATGTGCTGCTGCAAGCAGTATTTTAAAATAATGTTTCACTTTTCTGATTTTCTTGTTGACTGTTTCATTGAGTAAGCAAATTATAATGGTACACGTGTTAATAATGGTCAAGCTGCGCAGATGGAAATACTTTAAGGGCTATGAGAAGCCTCATTTTCGGCAGCACTGCCGGCAACCTCGAATGTGGCAACAAAAAGTTGCAAGCACACCCATTCACATACACACTTTCTAATACATATATATATACACTCACATATTTGCAACAGCTGGTGCGATTGCTTTGCTCACGCAAACCGCAACCTGCGGTCAAACTCAATAAAACTTTTCCAATTATTGTTACTTTCGCTTGCCGCCTCAAATGCTTACATAAGCATAAAATTCGACGCGCTCATTTACAAAGCACCACAAAGGGTCCCACCCACGCATCCACACGCAAATGCAGACACGCATACAAATTTGCGCTTTTTTCCGCTGATCGCTGATTATTTCGCTAGTTACGCTTATGTTAATTTACTTTATTTCATTTGCCACAAACTATTTCCTTGTTTTTGTATTTGTACAGGTGTTTTTTATGCGCTTTGACTCGTTCACCAATTTTGATATAATAATGAACAACCGTTTGTGGTGAAATCAGCCGCAGGCTCCAAAAATGGCTACATCAAAGTAAATTAAATAAATTGAAATATTGGCGTGCAGGTGAGCGCGGACGCAAAAAAAAACGTTGAAGCTTAAAGCAAGTGTCTTTAAGCTTCATTTATTTGCGTATATGTTTACATAAAAAGTTACGTGAACTCTGGATTATGAGTTTTATTTTGATATAAAGCTTAACTTAGTGTTCTTTTACTGGGTAATGCCCTTAGCTATTTACTTATTTATTGAATGAAGGCCTAAGTAGCCACTTCGCTAATTTTTCTAGTCTATCTGTAAATTTATTTATAATTTATTCTAAAATACAATAAAAAAAAATATAAAAAATAATATATTAACTAATTCAACGTTGAATTCACAGCGGAAGAGAATCAGATTCAATATTGTAATTATATTAAGAATCGCCGATAACTTCTTACTTTTTACATAATCTTCCCTATTTGCTCAGCCTAAGGTAGCAGAGATTGGAGAAATATATCACGTCGCCAAGAAAAGTCGAACAAGTCAACTTCCACGGCGAATCTAATAAAAAAATACTCTTTCATAACTTTAAAATATTTGCGGATAACACACATAGTGGGTTTTTCAAGCATGGTCAACCACATGCTTGCTCGAATTAAAGCGCGAAAAAAATTTGCATAAAATAAAAAAAAAAGCATTAACTTCGGTTGTACCGTAATACTCTTCATGAATACTAAAGACTATCTAACTTGATATCACTTGTACTTGAACTTTCCAGTTTGCACAGTAGCCACCTATGTACATTCTATAGTGGTCCAACAGAGGCAGCACCGACAAATGAGCAACTCTTTGGAAATAAAAAAAAACAACATGTGAAAATTTGCAGAACGGTATCCCAAAAACAGAAAATCTAGTTGACGTATATTCCGATAGATAGATAGATCCCCTCAGCTCGTCATTCTGATTATTTAGATATGTGTACTATATATTTATATATTTTGGGGGGGTATCCTACGTTTCCTTCTGCGTGTTACAAATATCGTGGCAATCTTTTTCACCTTAAAATAACTAAATAACGGATGTATCTTTATGTATGGTTTTCAGTAAGGCAATTTTTTTGGAGTTGGTCTGCTCGCCATTTCTTAATGAACGAACTTACTCCAAAGCAACGTATGCAAATTAAATGATACAATTAAATTCGGGTCGACCGGACCAATATTCGGTCGACATAATAGCCCAGCAGAGTTGGCATTTCGAGCAATATTGGAACATTTTCAGACTCCGTTGACTCAAGAGGCAAATGGACATTTTCAGAGACGCCACAAAATATTCGAACGAGTCCATTCACCGTCGCGCGCAACAGTTGTAGCTGTGCCCATCTCTTTGCAAAAAGTTCTTGGTTTACAGGCGTATAATATACAACTCGTGCAAGAATTGAAACCGAGCGATCATCTAGCGCTTCGTACGTTCGGTGAATGAGATGACCGCTGAACTCGATCTTCTCCAAGAAATTTTTATTCAGCGATGAAACTCATTTATTTCAATAAGTACGTTAATAAATAGAGTGAGGATTTGCATTTTATACTTAAAAAGGCACAGTTTAGTATGTTCTGTGGACAGAGGGAGGGAATCATTGGTCCATATCTTTCTTTAAAAACGAAGGTAGCCATCATGTTACAGTCAAAAGGAATGCATGACATGATTGATGAATTTTCCTTAGCTAAATTTCAAAATATTGATGTGAACGAAGTTTGTTCCAACAAATCAATTAATTTATTGAATGAAACTTTTGGTGAGCACACTTTCTCGCGTAGTGGGCCTGTATGTCCTCTAAAATCATGCAATTTATTACCGCTGAACAACTATTTGTGGGGTTATGTGAAGCTGCTGTTCTGCGCAGATAAACCCTAGAAGATTGAAGACTTAAAAGAGAACAATTTTGGCATTATTGCTAACAAAGGAGCTCAACTGCTGCAAAAATTGTTCGAATTATGGGCTTAATCTCAGTTGGAATATATGCTGGAATGTCCCGGCGGTCACTTAGCCCAATTAATTTTCAAAAGATAATGGCAACCCTTATTTTTATAGTACAGCAAATTTCTTAGCAAAAACTTTAGTTTTAGTTTATTCTTGAAAACCACGTGTAAAAAACACCCTTTATATCCTAGGGTTCAAAATATTCGAAAACATGTTTATCTTTTCTTTAGACGAATAATTAGATTCAGCTATTCCTATCTAAACGCTGCAATTCTTGAATTAGATTGGGACTAAGATGGAACCTAAAGCAAACTAATGATTTAAAATCAACACAAAGCAGTAAAAGGAAGATATAAGACATCGAAATGAATAAAGTTCCTGTATATACCTAAAACTTTTTCTTTTAACAAGAGGAAGATACTAAAATTTGACATGGATTAATGTCAATGCAATAATCTCGGGGGAAATTGTTAAGATCGAGGCAATATGCATATAGATGTTATAGATCAAAGTTCTAGTAAATAGTCTATGTGAAGGGTGTTATAGCTTCAATGAAACCGAAGTTAACGTTTTTTCTTATTTCTGGAAAGTTTTGCTTTTAAGTTTCTGTTTCACCTTTACATTAATTAATCTGTTATCAATATGCACTTCGAAAACAAGGAATATTTTTAAAAATTACTTCGGTTTACTCAGGTTCAATATAAAAAAAATTATAAATTCATAACAGGGTTGCAACAAAAAAAATAAAAAAAAATAAAAATTGGTTCTCTACATAATTGAAAATATTCGTATTTAACAGCATGTTATCTACTATCTATCTTTAATAAAAAAAACTCAATCAATTTGAAAGACACTATCCGAACAAACCATTTCCGACAAGTGCATGTCAAAAATGCGCAACACTCAAATACCAATTCATCACTGGAAAACACCTCCAATTTGCTACAAAAGTGCCACAACAAATTTAGCAAAAGGAAATGTAATAAAGCAAGTAACAAAAGTTATATAGTTCCGCCAAGCGAGCATTCGCATTCGCGCATATCAAGGCATTTTTAACATTGCGTTTTTTATGCAACAAATTATATTTTTATATTATTTATTGCGCCGCAATAGGGCTGAAAATTACATTTCCAGCTGTTCAACTGCGCACACAATCGCATTTCATCGCAGTTACTTAACTGCCGCTTTGCTATTTTTCATCAACTTTTCATCTGCAACAGACTGCCTTATGATTTTGCGAGCACCCCCCGCCATTCTTTGCAATTGCCTGTCCGCGAACGGTTTATACGGTATTAAATTTCAATGGAAATTCTTAATATACTTGCGCTAGCAAAGCGCGTTAACCCTGACAGGCAACCGCTATTAACTCTTTTTCGACATGGCAACAAAGGCGAAAGCCCGCTAGAAGAGCAACAATAAGAAGGAGAAGGCGAAAGAGCGTTTTCCGGCTTATATCATGCCCACAGCATTACGCGCTAAAGAAACGCACATATGTAGCTATTTGAGCTGCTACTCACAGCACTCCGAGCGCCGCTTAACTGCTTGGGCATATTCAGCTCGAGGTTACTCATACGCCCAGTATGCCTTCAGCTGCTTTAATACAAGTGAACATGGAGACGTGCGTATATGTTTGCGTAAATTCATGTGTTCGCATGCATACATACGACACATATACATATTTTCACACGCATGCTCAAAAATATACACATACATACATATGCACTTATTTGCATATAAAGTGTTATCACCCACACATTCCACTCACATACTTTCTGTTCTTATATTACCTTTCTTAATCTTTTTCTGTTACTTTCTTTCCACCTCACAGATTCTACAAGATATGATGGTGGAAATTGACTATGATGCCGATGGAACTGTTTCACTGGAAGAATGGCAGCGTGGCGGCCTAACAACCATTCCACTGCTCGTGCTCTTGGGTAAGTATTGTCTTCTTTACATATGTATGCGATGGTTTAAATAGTATGTCAGGCGTGTTCTTTAGTCGTTTCTTCTTTAACGAAAGACCACACTCCTGGCAACTTCTTCAAGTTAAATGACTACTTAACTTGCTTAAAGCAAACTTGAGACAGTGACAATTAAGTTGTAGCAAACTTTATTTGCTTTGCGTTGTGGCAATTGTGCGCGTTGATTTGCTAACTATTTTCCTTATTTAAACTTTTCTTCAACTAGATTTTTTAATGATCCGCTACATAATTAGAAGCAAGCAACTAGAGTGATGTCTTTTAAAGATTTAAATTTGAGAAAATTTAAATTTTGAGGTAAATATGTAGTGTGGGTGAAACTTTAAACGAAGTATTTGGGAAAATACTCTTTTATGTAAATTATTGAGCAGAGCTGCCAACAGGTTTTGTTTTTACTAGTTGCTTGCCTTGGATCGTTGGCACTTAGAAAAACTTTCGGGATTATTTTAACTCTTTTTTTAATTACCCTGCTGACAGTATAGATGGCGCTGCGATCTCTTTTATCAATAAAAACATGATTTTTGAATATCTAGCTATCAAAAAAAAAATTATTTTATTAAAATTCACCCCTTAGAAACATTTCTTATAAATAAATACTTGAAGCAAGAAACTGAAATTATTGGTTAAATATACTACCTAGCTGACATAAGCCACAGATGGCGCTGCAATCTAATTATATCAATAAGGTGTAATGATTATTTATTTAATTAATAAATTAACCAAGATTCATCAGATATATTTCTAATACATATATACTTTTAAATACATTTTAAAATTATTTATTTTAGTAAAAACCTCAGAGACGAAAAATTGTAGTAACAGATTTTTGGCTACGCGCCCAAAAATTTAATGAAATCACAATTTTTGAAAACTCTTAGTAGGAAATAGTTTTAATTTCACAAAAAATCTTTATATTATATATAAAAAATACGTGTCACGTTGTCTGTCCGCGATGGACTCCTAAACTACTGAACCGATTTTAGTAAAATTTAGCACACTATATCCGGTTCGAACTAACTGAGAAGATAGGATAGTTAAGACAATTCGTAAATAAAGAATACAGTAAAAGCTCTCTTAAATGGACGCCTTATTAAGCGGGCATCTCCATTAACCATGGACATTGTTGATGTGTATTAAATAGAATCTATTAAGCGGACAACTCTATTAACTGGTCAGAAACGCTGGTAACCATTCATTGAGAAATTCTTTATTATTTAGAATGAATTTATTTGTGTAAACATATTCAAAATTAAAATACAAATATACAATCTCTTGGATTCTTATGACCTGAAAGGATAAAAATTGGCAAAATTAGCAAGACACTTTTTCGGTTTGTATGGCAGCTATATGTTACAGTGGTCCGATATCGACAGTACCGAGCAGCTTCTTGAAGAGAAAATGGCGTTTGCAAAGTTTCAAAACCATATCTTAAAAACTAAGAGACTAGTTCCTATATATACAGACAGACGGACAGACAGATGGACGGAAATTGCTAAATTGACTAAGCTCAACACACTGGTCATTTGTATATAATGTATGTATATACTTTATAGGGCTCCGACGCTTCCCACTGGGTGTTACAAACTGTGGACACATCACTAAACTCAGCCTTACTTCACATTTACTACAGTTAGGACAGCGTTGCGTTTCAATATAAAACGTTTACGTTGTAAAATATATGAACCACTTTTCTTAAAGAATATAACCATATTTTAGTTTGTTCAGAAGCCAATTGTTGCATATAAGGAATTCGAAACTCTGAAAATCTTATCAAAATGAAAACCTTACATAGGTGAAGCACATTTTTCAAGTAATACGATCTAATCAAATTTGAACCGAACTGCTAAAATATATGTTCGCGGAAAATTTTTTTATAAATCTATATTATCGCCTTCAAAATATGGTTTTGAGCCAATACAAGCATGCCAACTTCATATTTGCGATACACTTGTTATAACCCTTGGCTGGGATTTCCTTCAGTGCTCTCCGCTAATTTTGATTTATAGGTTTCGATTCATTTTTGGAGCGCCATTCCTTAGATTGTTAGCACAAACTCGTTGTTATTAATATAATATAATATAATACATTTTGTTTTGCAACGTAATAATACTTGTACAACCAATTTATGATGAAAAACATATTTCTTGATTATTTTTGCTTTGCGCTCGGAGTAGACAAGTCCGATTCATATTTGATCAGGTGCTGTATTTTTCTTCTCCAGGTTTCTGAAGCTATTGTTTTTAAGTTCAATATCTAAGCTATTTTGTAGCTTGATTATATTATAAATCGCAGGTATGTGCATTAGGGTGATGCTGAAAAAATGTAAAATAACATTACTGTGAACTTCAAAATTCTCTTTAACGGTTTGTTCAGTATCATTGCCTTAAGCGGGAACATAAATGTCACAAGTAAGACAGCTCTGTGTCCTAAATGAAATTTTCCTCAACCCTTAAATAAACTTTAAATATCCATCGGAAGTACACACTCATATATATAATTAAATTTGATTGCAATCGCTGCTTCGCATCCTTCCATGTTTTTTTTTTTTTAATATTGCCATTACGCTCGTTTATGCTTTCAATCATTTAGATGTTTGTATGTGTATGTATATCTATTCCAATTCAATACACTAAAACTATATTTTTTGTCTTTATGCTTTCATTGCAGGCGTTGACAATACGGCACTGAAGGAGGATGGCATTCATGTGTGGCGCTTAAAACATTTCAGCAAGCCAGCATATTGTAATCTCTGCCTGAATATGTTGGTCGGCCTCGGCAAAAAGGGTCTCTGCTGTGTGTGTAAGTACAAGTTCGACACAAACATACAATACGTATATACATAATAGTGGGTGTGTGTGTTGCACTTGCATGTGCCTTAGTGCATTTCCGGTTCGTGATGAAGTTCGCTTTAAACGCCGGAAATTCAAATAACTCTGTAAGTGAAAAGTTAAATTGCAACGGGCTGGCTGACGGGAAGCGACGGATAGATGGGTATTTATTTAAATTTACATTTTCCAAATATGCAACTGCAAGCACATACGTGCATGTGTGAGCGTGAGAGTGTGTGTGTGTTGCGTTCATGCGTTTGTTGGCGCTTATTTGTTTGCACAGTCGAATGCATTACATTTGCCGGAAATCATTCGGCACGTGAATTGCTTCAAGAAATTGCTTCATATGCATTTACATAACTGCCTACACAAGCGAGCGAAAACAACTCAAATTTAGTCTAATGAATTTTACATCGGAGCGAATTTGCATAAACAAAATAAGTTCGTTAGTCATGCACAATTTAAATTAAATTCCAGTATTCTCCATCTAAATGCATGATAGTAAAATCAAATGTGGGGTAAATGTAATATAACAGTACTATAATATTTCAGTTAAGAGTCTGATTATTTGCCTATTCAGAAAATTACACTAAATACTATTATTAATTTCGTTAAGTCATTTACTTTACTAAATCACAACCTAATCTAGTCTTAGTCTTAATAAAAGTCGGTCAAAAGTCATCTTGATGTTCATGGTTTCTTGGAATACCGTATTAAGGTCCACTATAAATTTGTACTCCAAGGTTCAAACGGTAAATAAGAAACACTATTCACGATTTTGAGAGATATATGTATATAAATTAATTCGTTAAAATGACCAGCTTTGCGTCATCGCCTTTGAGCATGACTGTGACCGACTTTTGATGCAAACTCGAATACTCCTCGATAACCCCGAGAGTTATCGCTCAGGCATTGTACTTGCCATATTTGGTTCGCCTGTGACTTCTTTATTCTTTCGGGACAGAAACAAAATTAACCGCATCGGAGAACGCGCTATGAGTCCGCTAAGGCCACTAAAAACATTCGCTGAAAACCACCCAAACCGCGAATCAAAATAATTGTGCCGAAATGGAATCATCGTTGGCATGCTTGCATTGTCTCAGGAGCCTTCTTCGATGCCTTTGTGGCCTGGCACGGTATAACAGTAGCTTTCATTTAAAGCTTTTTAAAAGTTAGGAGTTAACAGAGTTTTAATGGGAGAGCCATAATCTGACTGGGCGATTCAGATGTTTTATAGACACTAATCATATTATTCCGAAAGCATTATTACTAAATGGTTAGCAACTGAACTCTATATATCTTAGAGAAAACGTACAATATACTTACCAAGAAAAATGGAGAACGCGCTGAAAAGAACATGAGCTATTTATTAAAAAGTAAAAGCTACTAAATAGTTTATTTTTCTACATAGAGATTTACATAGGCAACCGAAATCGACTGGATTTTTGTCACCGAAATCCTTGTCATCTTACAGTTCCACGGAGCGGAAATTTTGCACGAATCCAAATCTGATGAATATGGTAATTGATCGATTGCATTCATTGCATTTTTGGCTTTAAATTTGGTCACATACGTGGCTCGTTGCGATGCCAAACCATGAATGCCATCTTGATTTTGAGCGATTTTGGCATGTTATCTTTTTTTTTTTTTTTCTTTTAGTTCATTTTTCCCCCTCTATTCCGATGATTGTTGACTTGTTTACATGTCAAACTCATAAAGCGATGTCTTATCAGCAGTTATAATGCTTTCCATGAATATGAGATCAGAATTCGCACGACCAAGGATGTCCAAAGAGACCTATTTACGGCACTCTTCTTGAAAAATATTCAGCTTTATCTGGACGAGTCGAACAAGAACACGTTTCATACCCAAAATATTTTCAAAACTTATTCGAACGGACTCGCAAGAGATGTCGAGCTCTCTTGACATTTCTCTAACGCTTGCCTGTGATATTCAAGCACCATATCCTTTACTGTTTTAATAAGTATCCGTATAACCATTAGTAAAAGAGGTCAAAGGTCGTCCAGAACGAGGTATGTCTTCAACGATCGGCCGTCTTTGAAGTCTTTGTATCACATGTAGGCTTATGGATTTGATAAAACTGAATCACCGTAAGCCTTTTAGCGTTGTCCTCTGACCGATCCAAATCAAGTTCGTATATGGAAAACTTTTACTTTTTGGTTATTTTTGGTATTTTTAGAGTATTATAGCAGCCGCAGTTAACTCTTTAAGTTAATCCCTTTAAGCAAACGACAATTATACTTTTTTTTTGCAATTAATACATTTACAATAATTTATACTTTTTAATGAATATGGCTTAAATTAAGACTCATACACTTGTATGTTATTATTATGTTATTGCAACAGTTGACGAAACTTTTCGAGATCCCTTATATCGTATAATGGATCGAATGGATCGAAATATCGGTATTTCCAAAATAATCCACAAACAAATTATTTGTAAGAAGCAAACGATATAACAGGTCAATTGACAAGCGCCCGCCCAACACATAAATGGCGCTACTAGCATTAAATCCATATATAAATTTGACAGCTGTGGGATGATTAGGATGATTGTGAATTATATAATTTTGATTGAGACAACTTTTGTTTTTGGAAAAAAAATTTATATAATAAAAAGGAATTAAGCGTATTAATAAAATATAGTTTTATTGAAGAGAAAAATACAGTTGAATCAAAAACTTGACTTGATGACTAGTTTCCAGAAATTATCTCTGAAAAAAACCCATAAAGGATTTGTGTTTTTAGATATTCAAGCGTATGTAGAAACCCTGAATTTTTTCGTCGATATGTGATAGTGAATGAAACATGGCTCCATCATTTCGCTCCGAAGTTCAATTGGTAGTCATCCGACTGGACTGCACATGGTGAACCCCCACCAAAGCGTTAAAACGCAATAGTCGACGGGCAGGGTTACCGCAACTGAGTTCTGGGCATATGATATACTTTTTTATTGACTTCCTTGAAAAGGTCGAACATGAATAGCGACAAATACAAAGCGTCATTGGTCCGTTCAAGGGATGAAACCGCCGAAAATGGTCGCATTTGGAGAACAAGAAAGTGAAAGACAATGCACCAAGTCACAAGTCAGTGAATGAGGGAAAAAGTCCACAAATTGAGCTGCCAATTGCTTCTGCAACCACCGTATTCATCAGATCTGGCCACCAGCGACTATTTCCCGTTCTCAGATCTCAAAAGAAATTTTCGCCAAAAAAGTTTTGCTATGGTAGGCTAGAAACTTTTCAATTGACCTGTTAAAACTTCATTACAAACTTAAATCTAAAAAAAGATAAATATAAAAAAAGATTTATGAGTAAAATAAATGTATTTCAAATAAATAAAATATAATAATAATATACATATGTAGCAGTATAAGTAAATAGCTACTTGAAAAAACATTTCCAGTCAATAAAATTCTATTGCGTGCATTTGCATAAATTAGCCATTAAAGTCAATCGAATGTACTTATATAAACGCATGTAGGTGGTACGCACATACACAAGCACAAACACGCACAAACCCGTCAAGTGAGTAGCAGAAAACTCGCAAATACCCAAGTGCGTATAAAAAACTTTACGAGTTGACACGAATTCGCAATTAACAAATGTTGCTGACATGTGTTTATTTTTCTCTTCTCTTCCTCGCACCGCTCCATGCAAATGTTTGCGAACGCTGGTCATACAATACGCTTTCCAATGCAATACACAAAAATAAAAACAACAACGCGAATTTATTATGGGCACTCACCGCTATGCTGATGATGTCAATGCTGCTGACAACTTCTGATTATGGCCAACAACAATAACAAATACCAACAATAATATCAAATATTACAACAACAGTATGCAAATACACGGTGCACGAACGTTGCGTGCAACGTGCTCCACCCTCCTGCATCACCACCTACGTAAAAACAAAGAAAGCCAAGGGTGGCGGCGACATGTTGCATCACTGGGTCGATGGCAATTGCTACGGGCGCTGCTCCAAGTGTCGCAAACGCATTAAGGCATATCACGGCATCACCGGCTTGACGTGTCGCTGGTGCCACATGATGGTAAGTAGTACCTACTATATGTTGCCTGTATATTATATTTATAATTTTTGTTGTTGTTCTGAGTGATAGCAGTCAATTTGAACCGCATGTGTGTGTGAGGTAGTGGCGGGAAGCAAAATTGGCATAGAGATATTGAGCTGTAAATAGTTTATGGCTTTGCCTTCCTTGAATCAGCTATCGCCTTCTTAGGTGTGCTCTTTTATCCCTTAGGAAATATATATTGAAATACTTAATCACACATACATACATACGCATAAGCTGTTGAAGCTGAGTGTTAAGCCTTAAATTAGACGAGGAAAGATAGCTGCAAGCACACATATATAAATGAAAGTATGAGTGAGTAGATATTTTATGCACAGTTAAGCATAAGTAGCTTCACCTAGTAGGCAAACACACAGAAAGGAAAGCAACAAACTGCCGTATCAAGTATGTGCGTGTGTGTGACTGCTATAGTAAGGCTTTGGCTTGACTTTCAGCGGTGTATTACTCATGGATGTAAGTGCAAATGCTTAGAGGAGGGCATGCTAGGCGTCTGCGAGAAATTTTGCACCCGCTTTTAACATTAGTCCTTCATGATAACCAAAGTTTATCGATTGAAAAGATAGCGCTTTCCAGTACAATTCTGTGCTTGAAGTCAAAGGAATACAAAATGCTTATGAGGGTGATGTATGCATTCAGTTTGTACGGCTCAAAGCAGGTTATGTTGGTTCGTTTTAATTGCTGCTATCGGCTGGGTCTATAAAAGATGCTTATAAATTTCTCTCTTGTGTTTCCCAAATTGGAATAAACTTTCATAAAAATGTTAATTTTATTTCATTTATTTGTACTTCGACAAATAATATCATCTCTGTTCCGGGTTATTTTAATTCCACTAAACGCAAAATTCCACACAAAAAGATTGTTCCCTTGTGGTAAGCCATGGGAACATATTTCACAACGAACAAACATTTGGAACGAATCAGGCTATAAGTTCCCTTATATGTTCAACTAACCAAAACTGGTTATTTCGTGTAGCGGCAGAATTCAGCCGAGTTGACACTCCTTGGCCGAATAAAAATTCGGGTCCGTTCCGTTTGCGTAGACCCGACCTATGATCCCTTCCTAAACATAGTTATAAGTTATGACCCCTTTGCACAAATCAGACAATAATTAACGTAATTTAATATCTCCAGAGAGATGTTTACATAGTCTATGAAAAAACCACGGAACTCTCACTTAAATTCATATACTACATTTATGTAGTATCATTGTTCGCTAATTTCGCAGATTTAGATGATGAAACAGTAAAATATGTGAAATCGGAAGTTTTTTAAGAAATAAAAGGAAGAGAAGGAAATGTCCTATAGTCTACTAACTCATATCCAAGTATATGTAAACTTAATGTGACCATTTAAACAGCACAAGAGCGCTAATATGAGCAAAAAGTATTAAGACTTAGTTCATAATTTTAAAAGTCTTTATTTATTCTTCAAAATATATATTATGTTGTCTCCCTTAAAGTAATCACCCTTGGCCACAATACTACCAACGTTTTTTCCAATTGTTAAAACAAATTTCCGGAATAGCCTTCAATGCGCGTGGCGTTTCACGTTCGATGTCTTCAGTTGACTCAAAACGGTTACCCCGGAGCATATGTTCGAGTCTGCTGAATAGCCAGAGGACACACGGAGCTGAATCAGGCGAATATGGTGGTTTCGGCATAATATTGCTTAAAAATTTGTATAAAAAAAACCGGAAGAGTCAATACAGACGGTGCCTTACCGTGATACAAAAACAATAGTTGGCCCATAATTCCACCCTCTTTTTACAAAAAATAGTATTCCCTGGTTAACATTGCGGTCGATCGGCACTTTTCAAAGTGCACCACACTCTGCTTTAAAGGTTTTAAAGGTTTTTTCTGCTTCGGCTCATCTTTGCCGCCATATTCGGACGATTAGTCGTCTGCTTTCGGGTCGCATAGACCCAGTACTAATATATGTATTTCAAGACATCCTGCTAGTCGGAAGGCATTGCTTCACAGACGGTAGTGGGAGGCTTTAATCGTGCTTACACTTGTCTTAGGCCCAAATAATCTTTCAAATGGTTCTTAAAAATATTTTTACAAGGTGCGTTCCAAAGTAAACAGGACTTAAAAAAAATCAAATGGTTTGTCGGCAAAATCAATTTATTTTATTCAAAATAGTCTCTTTCTGCTTCAATACAGCTTTTTGCACGGTTGGCCGGTAATGGCCGCCAGTACGCCGGTGGAAGCCTTTTTAATGACTATACGTCTACATATCGCTTTCCTTTCATTGACAAATGGATTTTTCCGAAAAGGCAGAAGTCGCACGGTGCCATATCAGGTGAATATGGGGAGTTGTTAATGATTAAAATGTGATTTTTGGTCAAATAATCGGTCACAAGCGTCGACCGCCAACTTTCATCTTCGCAATATTCGGGACACGGCGCACCAATGAACACGGCGCACCAAACGCTTGAAAACTCCAAGGTAGAATACCGCATTTCCATTTCCATGAATTTCAGTGATGATTTCGAATTTTGATTGGCCGATATGTAGGTCGTCAATTATGTCCTCACGACCATTTTGAAAACGTTGAAACCACTCGTGCACTCTGCTAAGTGATAGACAATCATCGCCATAAACTTGGTTCAGCAATTAAAACGTTTCGGTAAAAGTTTGACGAATTTTAAAACATATTATATAATGTTCGAAGCGCATTTTCGCACCGATAACACAAACGTACTGACACTTAAAATGCAATAATTTCATTTCCAGTCAAAAAAATGTCATGAACTTCCCATAGGACAATCGATAAAGATAGCAGAGTCTAACGCACCAGTCGACATATAGATACAAAAAGTCCTGTTTGCTTTGGAACACAAATTGTATAAACAAAGCATCAATAAAATTCGTCTATCTCCTCCCCCAATATATTCCGCCTATGACACTGTCTGCCTATTAGCGTATGGATTGTGTGAGCAACACATAAGCATTATGAACCTACAAAGGTAATTACCATCATTAAGTATGCCATTTACGAATTTGTATCAAAATCACTACATTTCGGAAATATTTGTAGTTGTACGAATGGTGTTTTGAGTAGTTAATTAGGATATAATGTTTGAAATATTGCAATTTCGCACATTAAGGCGTTTAATTGTAAGACAATTTAGCACTCAACAAATCAAGAAAGGTGTCTGAATAAGCTTAATAAATTAAAGTATACACTAAAACATAAGATCAAATTTTATAGGATAAATACAATATTTATATGCTTCAGTTATCGTTTTGAATAGCGATGGAATTAATAAATCTCTCCGGAAGGGGTTTAGAAGAAAGCACAATTAAGCTAAGCTTAATAAAACTTAAATAATAAGATTCATAAATGTTACCATCTTTTTTCAATTATATATATTTATTTGATTTGGAGTTAAATATTTAGGATTATTAAAATTCAAAAATATTTCAAAAGGAGTAAAAGCGGAAAACGTTATACACATTGCTAGACTGCAACTTTCATAAATTTTTTGAATAAAGTTAGAAAGTGTTGCCAACTTTATGTCATTTCTATATATATCTATCTGAAATCAGCAGAATCGAACCATTCCATAAGACATAAAGAGTTAAAAAAAAGATCTCCATTTTGATTTTGTTCGGCCAGTTTTATATATAGGTTTTTGAGTTACCAATCTTCAGGGCAAACTTGATATACCCTAATATACCCTATTGAGGGTATAAATATTTAAATACATTGTTACAAAAGTTTGTTTTTTGGACTAGTGATTTAGTTTTATTATAATGGTAAGAGTTTACTGTTATGTTATAAAAATTCAAGAGATCGCCGCGGTTGGCTCATATAAAATCCCACCCAATTTTCGGCAACTTTTTGCAGCAATTTGGACCTTATACCAGACATAACGCACCAATTATTCTTTTCCCAGGCCTCAATTGAGTCGAGCTTATTTGCGCAAGCCACGACGCGAGATAATGCGCTCACTAAGAGTTTCCATTAAAAAATTGAGTGTTTCGTTGAACATATAGCATGAAACGGATTCTTGTTCGAACTAAAGGTCGTACATGAAAAGCAAGAAAAAGTCATATATATATCGATATATATAAATATATATATATATATAAAATATATATATATATATATACCATTCGCCATTAACACCAACATTTTGAGGAAATATGAACCAATGATTCCCTCTACCCATAGGCCACACCAAACAATGACTTTTTGTGGATGCCACGGCTTCTCAAAAATGGCTTGTGAATTATCAGCACTCTAAATGCGACATTTCTTTTAATTAACATACTCATTCACCCAAATGAAAACTTCATCCCAGAACACGAATGGACATTGATTCATGGGGGTCTTTTGTGAAATTATTTATAGTTACTCGAATTCTTGGCTCCTCTATGCGATTACGCCAAATATCTGGTCAAAATCATCATTAGTGAATAGTATATGCAAATGTTTTTGATGGTTACAAATTATTCAAAGAGTGTCGAGAAAGCACTGTCAGGACGGCTGAAAACCTAAGCTCATGATCACAGTCACAGATCTTACTGGCGTCGTTAGCAAATCAGAAGGAGTAGTGAAAACCATTTCGAAAGATCATTTGTGCCTAAGACTATTTTGTTTTTCGTCACATTTTCAACCAATATCGTGCCGCAATCACCGCATTCGCCTTATTTATTTCCGAGTGACTTCTGACTATTCAGTAAACTCAAACAACCGCGATGGGAAACCGTTTTGAGTCAACTGAAAATATCCATTGTGAATCGCATTAAAAGCCGTATTGCTTTTTGCTCATTGTAATATATACGAGGCCAAATTGAAATAGTACCTTATATTTTGAAATAGCACTTAATAAAAATACAGAAAATTGCAGACTCAGAAAATGAAGTTAACAGAAAATGCTTACCAGAAGCTTCCAAAACTTAAAGATAATGTTTCTAGTTAATAATACTTTTACATTATGTAAGAAGATAATCCTGCGCAACTTAAATAAAGTACTTTATTCTATTTGCCACGCACTTTGAAAACTTGGTCGATTTAGCCCCTCCCTACAATTGCAACTTGAAATAAAATGCACAATTTTCGTGAGAGTTTTCCATTTAAATGCCATTCGGTGGTGTCTCCATAATTTTTACATATACCCGCCACGCAGCTGTCAGCTCAAATCGTTACGCAGTACCTGCCACGTGCGTGGCACTGGTTTGCTAGTACTTTGTCGTCTCAAACGCGCACCTTAGCTGTAGCAAAATCCACTCATTGACGGTGCCTTCGCTCCGTGACGCGTATTGCCGCGTTGCAGCACTTGAAATGTAGAGACTCTGTTCCCGCCTCTCGCTCACGACAGCACGACACTTGCGGCATTCCCATGCCGCCAATCAAAGTCATTTGCCTTGGTTTGGTTGGGGATTCGTTAGTCGTTTTGTGACAGCTCTCTTATGTTTGCATTTGTTTATTGCATTTACATACGTATTTATGCGGGAATTTGCATCTATTCACGGTATAATGGCATTCATGCGCTCCGCTCACAGATTTACATAAGCTTGTATGTGTATAAGTGAATTTATGCGGTGAGCTGCGTAACATATGTGTGTGTGTTCCCCCAACTTTATTGACAGCAATTCGCAATTTTAATTTGACATGCAATGTTGCAACAATAATAACACACTTAACTTGCTGTACAGCATACTGTTGCAATATGCATTTGCATTTTCACATCCCCTCCACTTGCGCTTCAAGCTCCCCTCGGCGTCGTGTCACTTGTCGCTTGTCTATTATATCTGCCGTCACTTGATTGCTGCTGTTTTTGTTATTTGTTTATTTTCGAAATTGCAACACTGAAGCAAAAGGAGTAATTGTTATTTTCTTGTTGTTGTTTGGTTTGTGTTAGGAATTAGCGTGTGCCACGCGAATGACAATACAACATAATGGCATAAATTTAGAAATTACAAGCTATTCAATTGCCCATGGCGCCATTTGTGGCTTTGCTTGTTAATTGGTTTGCACTTTAATTTTCAATACACCGAAAAGTGCGGAAATTTTACTCTTTTTTAGTAAAAGGTTATTTCGGGTGTAGCCGAACAAATCATATTCTTGCAACTCGCAAGAATCGAAGTTCGGGAAATTGCTTCAGGTGATAGCAAAATTTTATATTACACAAGTAAGGAAGGGCTAAGTTCGGGTGCCACCGAACATTTTATACCCTCGCATGATAAAGTGATAATCGAGATTTCAGGCGTGGTACCGATTTCACCCATATTTCACCCATATTTAGTATATGTCATCACGGTGTTAAGATAATATTATATACCGAATTTCATTGAAATCGGTTGAGTACTTCCTGAGATATGGTTTTTGGTCCATAAGTGGGCGACGCCATGCCCATTTTCAATTTTTAAAAAAAACCTGGATGCAGCTTCCTTCTGACATTTCTTCCGTAAAATTTAGTGTTTCTGACGTTTTATGTTAGTCGGTTAACGCACTTTTAGTGATTTTCAACATAACCTTTATATGGGAGATGGGCGTGGTTACTGTCCGACTTCTTCCATTTTTGAACTGTATATGGAAATGCCTAAAAGAAATGACTCTATACAGTTTGGTTGACATAGCTATAGTAGTTTTCGAGATATGTACAAAAAAGTTAGTAGGGGCCGGGGCCACGCTCACTTTTCCAAAAAAATTACGTCACAATATTCCCCTCCCTAGTGCGATCCTTCTTTATAGGTTTTCGGTTTCCGCCATTTTGTGGGCGTGGCAGTGAGTCGATTTTGCCCACTTAACCTTCTTATGGAGCCACGAAATACGTGTACCAAGTTTCATCATGATATCTCAATTTTTACTCAAGTTACAGCTTGCACGGACRGACGGACAGACAGACATCCGGATTTCAACTCTACTCGTCACCCTGATCACTTTGGTATATATAACCCTATATCTGACTCTTTTAGTTTTAGGACTTACAAACAACCTCTTACCACCTCAGGATCTTCCAATCCTGATATTAGTTATATAATCGCTGGGCCAAGTTTTCGCTCAAATGAGCTAAGGGAAGTATTGACATAAGTACATACCATTATAAGAGAAGGATTATCCCTTAACTGCAGTTATATAGTATATATCATACATTGACCGAGATTTTCGATCAAAACTCAACTATAGATACCGAAGTCTGAATATGCGGTAGCTAGGGGCTTGAACAGCTTTTATTGGATTTAAACAATTTTTGCTTAAAAGGTGGCATACTTTAAATTAATAATAATTCCTACAAAATGTGATTTCACCAAAAAGTAGGCGGTGTCACACCCATCGCCTAATTTTAACACCGGCTCCCATAAAGCCGTCTCATATCATATCGTGTGTCAAATTTTATGTCTCTACTACTTTTTGTAGTTTCTAACAATACCGTTATATGTGGAATTGGTGGGGTTGTCTTTCCATTTCATCGATTTTCCCATTATCATAAAAATGGTTGGAAATGGTTATTTTGTGCAAATTTTATTGATGAAGCATTAATGATTTGGAGGTTAAAGACATTAAACTTATAACGGTTGGGTTTTCAAAGATTTTCAAACTACAGGTACCCAAATTTGAGTTCTGTAACTTAATTTATTTCTTAATTATGGTACTACGTATTCCCGCATACAGTTTGGAACATATTTACGAAGTTTCAACAAGATATCTTAGTTTTTACTCACGTTACAGCTGACATGGACAGACGGACAGGCAGTCACTCTAATTTCAACCCGTCTCATCGATGTGATCATTTATATACAAATATATATAATCTTATATATGTATACCTAGACTAGCTGTAGGTGATAGGAACAACCGTTAGGTGAACAAAACTATTATATTCTGTTCCGACTATTTGTAAAATTATAAAGACACTAAACTGAATATAATTTATGATTAAAATAATAGGTTAGAAATAATTTCACAAACCTCATACTCTTATTACCACTCAGTAAAAAAAACAGCAGGGTCTTCAGAAACCCCTTCAAATCTGTCCCTTTTAGTCGGTTTAATCTTACTTCCAAAAATGAAAAAGCAAATTCAAATAGATCCGCTGCATTCCACGGGTTTTTAGTAGTTTTAGTGCTACTGTACTGATTTTTTACCGACAATTTTCCTAAGCGGACTAACTCTTTCAAATAAATTAAAACATATATTGCTAGGTAACAGCCGCCTTATTCGTACCAAGGTAATTGAATCTTTTGTTAAAACCACGTCGAGTTTTTGTGCAAAACATCCAACTATAATGTGGAAATTGTAACTGAGTAAATGTTATTCGGGTCCGCTTTTCGTAAATTTAAATAAAGAATTCAGATAGTTGAAGTAAGGCTGGTTTTCTATGTTTTATTTGGATAAGTTGGGTTAGAATAGATTAAAAAAAAACAGAAATTTATAGTTCAGAACTTGAAATGCTTGAAACTCATCTTTATAGAGTCTGAACTTTTCCTGAAAAATTTTAAATATAAAAACTTTTTAACGAACAGATGCACGGGAAGACGTATTGCATGAGTCGCAATGGAACTATAGCCTACAAAGACTACCAGTAACTCAAAACTGTAAAATTTAGTTCTCGTCTAATTCTATAGATATAACATCAGCTGACATAAAAATTTCAATAATCATATATTCAAGCAACTAATCCTCAAAATAAGATCCTTAACGAAGAAAAGAAAGAATAAGTATCCATTTTAATTTGAAAGCTGCTTCTCAACTAAGCTCCGAACTGCCTAACGACCACACCCGCTCGCGGGCATATATGTATTTCAGAGCCAACTTGTAATTTAAACGAAATTAAAACAGTGTCGATGCGTAGAACATTTGAAAATTTTACACTAACGAGATTCTAATCCAATTAATTAGCTGAGAAATTATGAGCCCAATATAAAAGCAATAAACCTCAAGTAATTTAAATTAGTTTTTGTATGACAGAAGAAAGAAATACATTATAAATGATAAAATTGTGCTAGTATAGAAACTGTAGTTAGCTCTCGCTTCCCGCCTCCAGAAATGTGGGTTTCCTTTTGTAGTTGTTAACTAACAGATAAATACTATTTTGTGTGTGTGTAAAATTATACTATATAACTATATAGAACACGTGTTCAATATTTAACGCCAAAAATGCGCAAGTGACACAAGCACAATGCCATCCACTGTAGTTGGCTCGTGCAGCTGCTTAAGCGAATGTGTCACATTTCGACAGCTGCGTGGACATTTATGCTAATTTGAAAATGTCGTTAGAAACATGTCTTCGCTGTATTTTCTTGTCCTCTTATTATCCTTAAACTCTAAAAAGTTTTCTTTCTTAAGTTGCTTGTTTTTCAATTTCGCATTTTACGCATTTCATTTTCGTTTCAATTGCACGCGCTCGCCTTTGAAATCCGTGAAATTATCAAATTTTCCGTTGCATAATCTATTTGTTTTTAGCTACACAATCGCTGCGCCTCTTCGGTCAAAAAGGAATGTACTTTGGGCGAATATGCGGATTTAATTATACCGCCAACGGCCATCTGTCCGGCGGTCTTGGATCGCCAGCGCTCGGTAAATCAAGCGAATAAAGTGAGTTAATTATGCGTTAAGTTTTGTTGGAAAGTATTTTTTTTTTTTTTTTTTTTTTTTTTTTTTTGTTTGTTTTTTTTTTTTTTTTTTTTTTTTTTTTTTTTTTTTTTTTTTTTTTTTTGGATTAGATGAAAAGAAAAAAATAAACTCAATAATAGTTTATTGCAAAAAGCATTTAATTAACTTTATTTCGATTGGTTTCATTTAAATAATTAACTTTTTAGTTCACTCAAAATTAAATTGAATTTAAGTTATCTTGAGCTAAGTGAAGAAAAGTTAAATTAAGTTTAGTTAAGTTAAGTTAAGCTATGTTATGTTAAGTTAAGTTAAATTAATATAATTTTACTTTATTAAATTAAGTAAATAAGTAAACTTAAAAAATTATAATTTGATTTATGTAAAGTTATGTTTAATATATTTCTTCCCTTTTTGATTTATTTTGATTGATTGGAATTGAATTAAATTTATTTACTACTTTAAGTTAAGTTAACTTAACACCATTATATTAATTACAAGTAAGTTAATTTAAGTTAGTTTAATTTACTTCAATTTGGTTTAATTTAAGTTAGGTTTAGTTAAGTTCAGTTAAGTTAAGTTATGCCGAGTTAAGTTAATTATGTTATATTAAGTTAAGGATATTTCAGATGAGTTAAGTTAAATTAAGTTAAATCCATTTTATTAAGTTAATTTTGAAATTTCATCCAAAAATGTTTCATTTTGCAATCGAAATCAATATTGTTTATTAAAAATTATGTATTAACAAAAAATGTATGTAAATCAAATATTTACTTGTATGTATTCACCGAAATCTCACCAAATTTTAAATTAATTCATACACATTGTTTGTCTCTTCCATTCCTCTACCCACGCAATATTTTTAATAACATTCCACCGCAAAAATATAATCGGCAACCACAAATTCCAAAAATTACTCATACGCCACCGCGTCTGTGTACTCATCACGCTTATAAAACCACTCCAATTGGCATATCACCTAACACATCAATCAACAAAATGTGTTATCATGTGCTCGTCCTCAATTATATACAAATTATAAAAATATTTGTGTTTTGAAAAATTATCTATAAATATATATTATATAAATATTTGTCAAAAATTGTTGCTAATATAAGAAATCGCAAATCAATCATCAGGCTACACATTTTCAAATTACACCGCCGAATGAGAGCAGCTGTCCGTTGTTGGTATTTGTGAATCCAAAGAGTGGCGGTCGGCAGGGTGATCGTATATTGCGAAAATTTCAATATATGCTCAATCCGAGACAGGTGTATGATCTCTCGAAAGGTGGACCGAAGGAAGGTAAGCGTTGAATTTTACTAGTGAAGTTAAAATTTTAAATAAAATATCTTTTGATCTCTTTCGCTCTCTTTATGACACTCTTTCTCTAGGTTTGACTTTATTCAAAGACATGCCGAACTTCAAGGTAATTTGCTGTGGTGGTGACGGCACGGTTGGCTGGGTGCTCGAAGCGATGGGTGAGTAAACAATTTTTGAATTGAAAAAATACAAGAGAAAGTTTGAACTCATTGTAGTAACGAGTAATAGGGTACACAAAAGCAAATACAGATTCTAATAACTTTTTAAGCTTTCTGTATGATATTATGAAGATATAATATTGTAAGCACTATTTCATACATATTGAGTTTTTGACAAAACAAAAGCAAACAAAGCTGCGTCACAAGTTTTTTTAGGCCAAATTTCTCACTTCTACTCCATCTACTTAGATTCCATTGAACTCGCCACACAACCGGCCATTGGCGTCATACCACTAGGCACTGGCAACGATTTAGCGCGCTGTCTGCGCTGGGGTGGCGGCTATGAAGGCGAAAATATACCCAAGCTAATGGACAAAATTAAGCGCTCGTCCATTGTAATGTTGGATCGTTGGAGTATTGAGGTGACGAATGCGGCGCCTGTGGCGGAAATACTACGACCAAAGGTGAGTAGGCGGAAAAGTGTGTAAAAACGAAATTAATTGGAGCAAATTTGTGGTGTAAGACCAAAAAAAAAACTCTAATTGCAATATAATTAGAAAACAACTTCGTTAACCTATTGGCTGTCAGCTCTCAACAGCATCTCAAAATATCACTCATACGCCATGGTAGACACTCTTCACTTTGAAAACACGCCACTTCTTACATTTATTTTACTTTTTAGCACTTTGTTCGCACTTTTCAATGTCCTACTGACATTTTAATTGAAATCATCTTTGACTCAATCAACTTTTTGGTGTACACTTTCACTGCGTCATCGCTCGAACTTAGCTGAAGTGATTGCTTGCCACTTGCCAAAATCCAATTAGTATGAAAGCCATTTGATAGCAGCAACTCAGTACAGCACGCGTCAACTGTAAGCTCTGCTTTCAATTGGTTTCGTACTTTAGCTTTCTCTTCAGCTACCGCTCTTCATCTACCTTCGCCACTTTGTTCGCACACCTTTCGTAATCGTTTTACTCCCCTCAGAAGTTCGGTTTAAATGCCTTTACAAATATTGTTTGTCCTCTTAACCCTTTCAGCTCAACTAGTATAAACTGCAGCAAAAAGTTTTATAACGCAAAACTCAAAAACTCGAAAAAAATATCTGATAAAATTAAAATCAATTCGATGGTACAATTCGTATGCTCTCTTGTATCCTTCCTTTTTATACATATTTTCATTGGTTGGGTTTTAGTGCAGAAAGTTAACTTGTGCCAATTTTTAGTCAATTTATCCTTCACCCATGTGTACAAGTGATACACCCTGTTGACCCAAACCTTTGCCAGCAAAAGAAATAACTAGAAAATAGATTAAAATGGATTGCGAACTCACAAGCAATTATAAGCGATTGCATTGAGCTAATCTTTTTGCAATTTCGCAAAGGACAAATTCCGATTTACTTAAATGGCAATGAGTGTGAAAGAGTTTACTCGATTACATATCACTCATACGCCACGTATGATCTAACTAATTCCATGTTGCTCATACGCCTTGTCAGAAAATACAACGATTGTTGGAAATATTAAGAAATATAATAACGATGATATAATATTTCAAAGAAATACAGAGAATTTAATAAAAGTTGAAAATATTGGAATGTCTTGTCAAAAAAAAAAACTAGTCAGCTAGATGTCACTCATACGCACTGGTTTCCAATACTAATAAAGATTAAGTAAATTACAAGTTATAAACTAAATTAACTAAAAACCAAAAGAATTCACAAAATTATTAAAATTATATTTTATTAAAAAAAAATAGATGTGTATAAGAGACAGTATATAAATAATTAAAATAATGGCTTTTTAAAATATATGCTATCAATTTTTTTTCAAAACGCTGTTAACTAACTAACTTAGTAATAATAGTAAAGCGGAATTTTTAAAAAAAAACTCAACACAATATTTCTTAGTTATTTATTATGATTAATTGCAATATTTTTAATCTGAAATATTTCTTTTAACAAAACATATCTTCACATACATTACAATTCAATATTAGGAAGAGATTAAATTTGCTTACTTATACGCCCAGTACGACTTTAAAGTGAACAGAAACGCAAAACCATAATGTGAATTATAAAAATTAATAATATTTAAAAAACTCCAATTTGCTAAATTAAGAAACGTAAACTAAATAAGTAAAGAAAGGCTAAGTTCGGGTGTAACCGAATCATTCTTTTGCAATCTGCCAGCATCAAAGCTGAGGAAATGCCTCACGCACAACGAAAAATTGTTATTATAAAAACACTTTATTTCAATTATATTAAGATAGATCACATATTGACCGATATATGCGGTATAAAGTCACATGGAAGTAAAAAATCTTTCTTTGTCATATACCTCTGTCGGCTAAGAGAATTATTAATCCAATTCAACCCATTGTTGGCACTATTCTCAGAAAAAATGCTCATCGCATTTTAATAAGATATGTATCTCTAAAATTGAGCAATATTTTCAATAACAAGTTCGCAATAAGAACATAGGGTCCATACAAACGGTGTCTGGAAACTAAAACAGTTCTGGTCCGATGTGGACAATTTTTGAACATACGACGACACAACTTAAGGGCATTACTCATTTAAAATTCTATCTGGCTAAATTGATTGATGTTTGATTTGCATACTAGAAAGTGTAAGAATCAGCTGGAAGTAAGAATTGTGTTATATGAAAAATATTCCTCCAGATCGGGTGTAATATTTTATTTCTATGATACATTCAATTACAGATAACACTTTTATTAGGTTTTAACAAGACCGTTATAAGGCTAGTGTGCATAGATATAAATCGAGTTTACCCATTTTCTTAGGGTGGTTAGGGAATCCAAAAATAGCAAATGTGGTTATTTCACCTTAAATGGTGTAGGAGAGAATGTAGACAGAATGTTTACTACAGCGATAATACAACAAAAAAATATTGATTTTTTAAATAGCTATACTAAAAAAATTAATTTTTACATTGTTTAAAATAAAAATAAAATTATTCTTAGTTATTAAATGTGCTGCTTGTGCTTTAACTAGTTCAGCTCCATTTTCAAATAATGTTTAAAATTTAATTTAATTTAATTTAATTTAGTTTAATCACCCTGATTGTGTTTTCATGATGGTGATAGATTCTAAATATATTGAAATTACAAAAACAAAATTACCCTTAACATTTCGCATACACTTCTTTTTAAAAAATCCCAACCTCAATATCACCGAAGCCGCCTAATCTAATCTAGGACACTTTAATCCGCTCATAGGCGCAAAAACATTTTATATACATTTATGGCTTTCAAAAATCTTTTTATTTGAATTACTTTATTATTGCATATCAACACACTCGTGCCTGTATTTATTTATGCACAATGACCCGATGTGTTTTTGAGTTCCACTCAATTCTGCACTAGACTGCAATGAACGCTCGTTTATATGCTTTACATATAATTGACTCATTTCTTCACACACAGGTCACGCTCCACTCAAATATGCAGAAAGTGATTGAGCTATCGCAGAGTGTTGTGGTCGAAAAGGCGCTTYTCGAGAAATTCGAGGAGTTCCACCGCAGTACTAGCGTTTGCATGAACATGTGTAGCGGCAGCAGCAGCAAACAGGAGAACATGACCACAACGGCATCCACGTCATCGATGAATTCGTCGATTACCACGGCAACCGAATACGCCACAGATGCGGTTGGCAGTGGCATGCGAGGTACGAGTGTCGGCGGTGCGGGAAGTGGCATTGCGGGCAATGGTGGTGATGGTAGTGGATGTGGCAATGTGGGTCGCGCAACCAAAAGCATATCAATGTCGACATTCGAAACGAAGCGCACGCTGACAACACTCAGCAATAGTAGCAGCAGTTGCAGCAGTACGAGCACAATTATTAGACAACAAAAGCAACAACAACAGCACGAGGAACAGGAGCGCCAAAGGGAGCGACGCGAACGAACGCAATCAGAAGACTTGCAATCACCTGGCACACCGCAAAAGCCGGAAATGGCTAAAAGCGTCGACGGCGATGCAATTGATGATGCTAGCAACAACAATGACAACGATAAAACGAACAATCGTGTTGTGAATCGCACCGAACGCCATTCAATACACGCGCCTGCGGTGGCAACAGACATTCCAAATAATCCGGCAGCTGAGCAAAAAAGTGAAGTAGAAGCTGCGATGGCGCCAGAACAATTACAGACACCTCCCAGCGCGAAAAGCATATCAACAACAACAGAAAGGGAACATAACGAACTTAGCGCTGCATCGATGAAAGCGACCACCGCTGCAACCATCAGCGCCACTCCTGAAACATCTGCCCCCACCGCACCCATTAGTCACATTAACAACGATATAGAGCTCGCAGCAGCGGCAGTGGCTATAGCAGAGGTATCGACTGCCGCTGACAGCTCGACAGTGCCACACACGCCATTGTCACCGACATCGCCATTACCGATCTCTTCGGCATCGCCCAAATATTCCCCTACACCATCTGGCACCATTGGCGCACCAGAGCCGGAAACATTAGCAGCAGATGCAGAACCCACAACACCGTCCACATTGACTTCGTCCAGCAGTGCAGCAGCGAAAAGTCAGACTGTCATATCTCTGCCCAAACAGATTAAGGTGCAGCCGGAAAAAGATTGCACAGTGCCCTATAATATCATCAACAATTACTTCTCAGTCGGTGTGGTAAGTTTAATCTTTGCAAATTATAAATTTATAAATATTGAACTAGTGTTAAGAAGAATTAACTCACGAAAGGCTTAAACGAAACATTGGAACCATTTTGCTTTATAAGTAATAGATCTAAAGCGCTTTCTACTGACAACCAACAATATTTTAACAAATATGTATATAATGTAATTGAAGCAAATCTTATCTGGTGACCATAGCTGAGTAAGAAGAAATACAAAAAAGAATACAATATGGGCGTATGAAACGAAAAAAAATTTAATCACAATCCCCCTTTAAAAAAAATTAGAACTTAAACTAACAGAAAATACGTTTCAAAGAAAGTATCAGCGAAATGTTCTCAGAGTCTTCAATAAAAATATTTCATACAATAGGGTTGTCACCTTTTAAATTAATAGAAAAACACTGTCAATTTAAAAATAAAATTTTTTATTTAAAAAAAAATAATCAGCTCAGAGCCTTCAATATAAATATACCTAAGGAGAAAGTTGCCACTATTTACTTTAGTAGCAAAACTTTGTTAAATTAAGAAAACACTTGATTTCAAAATAATGCTTTTCCACTAAATACAATTGAAGCAGCTGTTTTCAAAATATTTTTGTTCAGAGTTACCAACCATCAAAAGTAATAATTTACATTTTCATTAATTTACATATTCTTATTTGGCTAAGTATCAACAATCATGCCTATCTTCAACTTTTTTATTAAAGTGATATTTTTTTCGGCGGTGATAATTTTCTCGGCGGCGAAGAGCTGATAAGGTGCATGCATCAGCTTCTTTGCAAAATATGGTCGGACGAAAGCATGCCCA